TCTCGTATATCGCCTGGTCGTTATTGCTCGGTCGATTCCCCGAAGGAGCGTGTTCGAAGCCGACAGCTGCCGTTGCGCCGTTCACTGGATAGTCGTAGACCGTTTCACCGGCTCGGTTGTTTCTCGGGTAGTCGTAAACGGCCTCGGGGGCATTGTTCTGGCCAGGTCGCGGGTAGTCGTAGTTGGCTTCGGAAGGCACTGCGGCGCTGCTTCGTGGATAGTCGTAAGGTGAGGTCTCGCCAGCTGGATCGCACCGGGAGTAATCGCGACCCAGCTGGACGGGCGGGGAAAAGCGGCCGGGGTAGTCGTAGTCACCCAGGGCTGGGGCGCCCCGCGGGCAGCCGGGTGGGGCGACCACAGCGTTGCTCGGGGGTTGATCGTAGATCGGGTGGCCCTGTCTGCTGGCCTGGCGAAGGGTGTCGTACTGGGGCGTGTTGTCGGCGATGTATTTCTGCGAGAGATTCGTGCCATTCATGTAGATGGGTTCCGCCGCTTCGCTGGTTGTGTGGTTGCCAGGGCTTCCACCCTCGAAGTGAGCGTTGATCATGTTTTGGTAGCCTTCTTGGTACGAAATGGCGCCGTGCTGGGGCGGCGGGTGGTATGAGCCCTGCGTGAAGTCTGACGTCCATGTCGGGCCGCTGTGCCCCAGAAGCAGCGGGTCAGTTGTGTGCACGGGAATGTCCTGCTGGTGCGAGTCGGGCGAGATCTCCGCCGCCCTGCGCGTCCGAATGAAGACGACCAGAAGGAAGACGACCACAGCTATGACGACGATGAGCGTCACCGTGATTCCGATGGCGATGATAATCACGTGATCGGAAACACTGTTGTCATCCATATCACGACCGTTGCTTGTTACGGTGCTTCCCGGAACAGAAGTCATCCTCAGAAATCCCAAGATCGACCTTGATTCGTTTGATTAAATCTAAAGCAGGGTTGTACAAAGGGACCTGCTTTCACTCGCACAAAGCAACTGTAACAATTAATTTACAAGTTTCCGGCACGATTACTGTTGACCCTCCCCGGCAGTGGCTATTCAAACAGGAGTCATTTCAGTATTTTCACCGTTAGTCAAACATCCTGTACATGCGGATGACATAGTATTTAAGACAGATATCGCTGCACTTTATATGCCAATAACAATGCCACGAGTGCCAAGACGTTCTTCGCCGTGTCACCCCCAGGAAGCCCTCTTGAGGTGTGGCAGCAAAAACGGTGGCACTGCACCGTCGGAGTTCGTGGATGACATCACGCCGTCTTCCTCTCTGACTCATTCCGAATCTGGAAGCCTGAACTACCTCTTTTTACCTTGATATCGTTTCTAAGCGACCAACGACTAGATAACGAGTGCAAGATATTTTTTCTCTCTCTAATTTCATGCTTTTTGCATTAACTTCACCATAAAGTACACAATAGGCTCTCGGCACCTCACTCAAATATCACATCCGGTGGAGATAAGCACGACTCCCTGGCAGCGCCAACGAAGCGACGCCGTAGCCTTTGGAGAAGTCTGATTTTTTTTCCTTAGGCTGTCGTTTCGTTTCGTTTTTTTTTTTTTCAAGAAAGAAAAGAGAGGAAGAAATAGAAAGAGAGAAAGAAAAACGGAAGAAGGGAATGAGGGAGGGAGGAGAGAGGGAGAGAGAGAGAGAGAGAGAGAGAGAGGGAGAGGGGAGAGGGAGAGAGAGAGAGAGAGAAGAGAGAGAGAGAGAGAAGAGAGGGAGAGAGAGAAGAGGAGAGAAGAGAGAGAGAGAGAGAGAGGGGGGGGGGGGAGATAGAGATAGAGAGAGAGAGAGAGAACAAGTGAGCGATAGAGAGCAAAGAGAGAGAGAGAGAGAGAGAGAAAGAAAGAGAGAAAACGAGACATAGAACATAAGAAGAGAGCCTTACAGACAAAGAAATACAGAAACAGAATGATGAAATGAATAACACAAACATAGTCACGATAAAGACAGACATACAAAGGAATGAAGAGACTTGGTTTCATAGGAATCGTATTTATCACCGGCGTTTTAGTTGACATTTTCACTACTTCCTGTACACTGTTAAAGGGGATTCATTTTATCGCAGTCTAGCAGAAAATGTTCATATCTTTACTGTTAGTTAAAATAAATGACTTTAAAAACAAGATACACATTCTGAATAGCAGGTCAAGATTTGTTTTTGTAATAAGTATTATAATATATATACTTCAGTGACAATACAAAAAACAGTAATTATGAGGTGCTGATGAAACATGATGGAGATAATGGTGATGATGATGAGAAGGAGGAGGAGGAGGTAAATGATGAGAACGAGGAAGAGAAGTATAAGTAAAATGTTAATAATAATAATGATGATATTTATCATCGAATATGTATGTATATATGTATATATATATTACATATATACAATTATTATATATATATATTATAATATTATAATATATATATTATATATATATACATTATATATATTAATATATATATTATATATTATATATATATATATATATATATATATATATACATATGTGTGTATGTATAATATGTTGTATATATACAATACAATTATATATATATATATAATATATATATATTATATATAATATATATATATATTATATATATTATGTATATATATATATGTATGTATGTATGTATACACACAAACACACAC